AGACCTTGGTATTCATTTCTATTAAATTAACCATCAAACATCACATTGACAACATTGTTAAAGATTTGGTCATATGCAGGGGAATCGCATAAGATAATTGCCAATACATTTTCTCTAAAACAGTCTTATACACAGTCTCCTTTACTAACTTCCAATCATTAATTGATTATTGACTTCGAATCTAGTCCTTGATTTCTAATACCCAAAAAAATATTAAGGAAATTTCTAAAGCATCTGCTTCTAAACAAATTACCAAATTTACCATGAATAGACTGTCCTGGCTAGGGATTGCAATTGCTGGATCCAGCACATTCTTCGGCCTGCTGGATCTGCAAATACTCAATTAACTTTCTAAATAATGGTGCAAAAGTTTATGTTGTCGGCGTTGCCACTTTGCTATGTGTGCTATCACTCGGTGGCGAGAGTGATGTTGCTGTTCATTGCGGCATGCGCTACACCCCTCTCTACAATGCACTGCCAGCCCTTTTACCTCCACTGATCTATTTGCCAGTTAACTTTCCACTCTCGCTAAATAAAGTGTCTTCGTGCTAAATAAAATAACTAACTCCTCTCCTAGTCCTAGTGCTTAATTCTAATTTACGGTCAGTTGTGACGTCAATGAATCACATGACGGAACGATCACAGTTTAAGACTATGGGGAAATGCAGCCTTGCGGCTCGCTTCACTTGTCACTTTGGCTGCGAGACTATGTGCTGCTTTTGCGGCTTGTCCTGAAACCTAACCTATCCCTCTGGGAGATGACCGTCACTAGCTAATAGAAAACCTTTTATTTCAGCTGAATCAATATTTTACCGGAGATGAAAAATAAGAAAGTTTTCAGAGTTTTTTCTGGTGATTGCGCGATGATCGGGAGTTGCGTCGTTCTCTCTGCTAAGCCTATTGTGTGTTTAACAGGCAGTCCGGCAGATGTTGATGACAACATGCTCGCTATCACTTGCGGTTGGTTAGTAATACGCCATTAAGGAATGAGAAGCCCATCAAAATATAAACATCATTGTTGCCACTGACGGATCAAAAACCACCAACACCGTGACTGTGGCTTTCGTTAACTTAAAAAACAACATCATGGCCCACTTCTCTCTCCACCCTGAGGCCTACACTTGACAACAGAATACAACTTCTAAAAAAATCACCAATCAAAGATGATATGTTTTTGCAAAAATATGTAAAAGAAGCGAAGGGCAAAGAATTGAGTTTGATTCTTGACTGCCGCACCAGGTGGAACAGTCTCCTCAGCATGATGGAATGTTTCTACAGTGTAAAAGTTTGCATCGATAAAGCCTTAATAGACACTGGCTCAGACACTAAATTCTCCACTGACGAGTGGTCACTAATCAATGAGTTGATCACCAGTCTTCAACTAGTTAACTACTAGACTATTACTAATTACTTACTCACTACTTTACTAACACTAATAATTAAATTACTTATAAATAACTACAGACTGATATGTAGAGCCTATATAAGAAAACTGGTAAGACTGATAGCCACTTAGCCACTGATTATCTGTCCTTACATTATTATTATATAATATATTAATATAAATTAATTAGTAGAATTACCTTTCCTATTATTTAACTTAAAGATTACATTATAATTATAATCTAACTAAACATTTAAAGTTAATTATCTCTATCTCAAGTGTTAAACCAAACCAAAAAAAAACGTATAAGAAGTTTTACTGATTTATAGTGACTTCAGGGACGAACAGATCCTCAATAAAGTGTTATTTTAAATTTTAATTATTTTGGAATTCACTCATCTAACTTTGATCATTTTATCAAAAGTTAGGCTAAAATCCATAAAAATTGTTTCCCATGGATTTGCTTCCTTGTTGAGGATGATCTATCTAGTCATTAGTGTGTCATCCAGAACTTTTGATAAATTTCCAGTATTGGATGCCAGGCCGTTAACAACAGACTCCTGACCTCATGGAAAAACCCAGAAGCAACCCAAATAACAAGGGAAAGCAGTGACAAATCAAGTCAGTCATCCTCCCAAGTTTACCTCCCCAAGAGTTATTATCGTGCCAAATACTGTACCTCCACCAACCTTATCTTAAGGATATCGTACACACCTAAGTGCCTCAACACCAGTTGGATACCTCTCTCTGGAGCTGCTCCTGTTACCAGACACTCTAAATATCCAGAAAAATTTCATTGAATCTTGAACATTCCATTGACGGTGTGTCCAGTCATTGATCTTCGACTCAGTTATAAGGTATTTATCCACGCATGAGTCATTTGTAAACTCTCTCTCTCTCATGACAGTTAAATTTAAGAAAATAGGGATATGCATAAATCCAAGAACATATATCGTGTACTCCTGCCCACTAAAATAAATTTGTTATTGTTTATAAATCTGGAATCCGAGTGAATCACTTCCTCGTTTCTCTCTCCTCACCTCTACTCTGAATCCAACCACCTACCTGTGACCACTCGCGTGACATAAAGTTGCGATCTCCAAGTCCTGAGAGACTCGGTGGTGTCACATCCTGATGCGGTGTTGAAGAGACACCGACTCTATGGTCACAGCAACCAGTCTAAATAATAAAAGTTTGTTAAGTATTTTTTTAAAAATGTTTTATTTCTTTAAAAAAAAAAAGCCATAAATTGCTGGATAGATAGATAGATAACACTCTATTGCACCAAAAGTACATCCGTGCTGGATCCAGCTGGAATGATGTTGGTCCAGCAAAAACCCAGCTGGATTGAAAACACTGTTGGATTGCAATCCCTAGTTCTGACATTGTTTTTCCATATCTAGGCTTCCTGTGTTTAGAAGATTAAGTTGTAAACTTTGGCAGAATCCTTGCTTACAAATTTTTTAATTGTTTTATTTTCCCTTTTTATTTTAATATCCTAATATCTCATCTTTTGTTTTTATCTTCCATTTTTTAGACTTAATAGCCCAAAAATCATCTTTTTTTACATTTATCAAAAAACACTGATAGAGTTAAAAGGAATTTTATAAGAATGACCTATTATATTTAGACTTTGGTAAATTTAAACAGTAGTGTAGAAAAATACAATATGTATTAGAATTCATTATTAATGTTGTTTTATTTTAATGTTTTTATTTTGGGATAGTTTGGAAAGGTTCATATTGCCTAAATGTCATCTCCTTTCTAATACTTTGTAGATAAAGTATACGGGTTCTGATGCTAAAAGAAATGTTAACAGTTTGATGTTTAATATTTTATTATTTATTTAATATTGTGTGATAGCACAAATATTGAAATATTAATTGAGTTAAAGTGCAAGAAACACTAATAATATATGTAAATGAAGTTTACTAATTAACTTTTAAATTGATAAGGAAAGTGAAAATACTGTGAGAAAAAGCAGGGATCTACAGAATTCCTATTGTTAACATAGAAGTAAGCAAAAGTTTGAAGAAATAAGGATTACTGAGAATACCAAACATACAAAATTACTAAATATAGATATATAGTTAAGAAAAAAAAGTTAGTTTGTAGAATTTTTCTCTGGAATGAGATAATGTTATTTGTAACTTTTATACAAAATCATAAATTTTTATTTTAGTTATTCAATAATATATTGAATATATTAACTTAAATTTGTTATCAGAAGTACTGTATAAAAATAGTTGAACATTAATATGAAAAAAAGAAGAGATTTTACTCTATAATATAGTTTAAAAAATGAGAGGGAAAAGTCTTTTGTGATGTTTTATGAATTTGTCTTGATAATTTTAAACTTATAATACATTAGATAAAATAATTTCAACTAACAGGTTTGTTATTTTAACTTAAATCTTTTGTGACCAGAGGGTTGGCACCTCTTTGATGTCATGTCTCTACTGTGTCCCATCTTCCAGACACAGAAGTTGCGATGGCTGTTTAATTTCATTCGAATTTGTTACATGAGTAGTTGCATGCATAGATGATTGAATTTGGGATTGAGGAGTGTGAGACAGCATGTTGGAAACAAGACACTTGGATACTAGGTTAACAAAACAAATACCATTTATTTTTTGTTATATGATCTACATGCTAACAGTAGCAAACAAATAGATATTAGATACTAGAGAGATATCGAAGCATTCGTGAAAGAGAGAGTTTACATGAAATCGCATGTTGTTATAAATACTTGGAGATAGAACTTTGTGTATGGGATGATCATTCCATTGGCAGAAAGGTTGACAATCAAGATCCAGCACTATGGGGACAGTGCGAAGAAAGCGTTGAAATTTCTTGTCCTGGAGTGAATGATATTCCTTTATTGGAGATTCCTTTTTCAGAAGAGATGATGATATTCCTTAGTACTTTCCGGTTTGCAGGGTGCCAGTCAATTGATGCAATCCAACTCGCATGTATTAAATTGATAATTAGTTCAGAGAGGATTTCCCAAAATGGGTAGGTTAGGTTTAGGTTTTGGGTTTAGGTTAGAGTTAGATCACATCAATTGACTGTCACCCTGCTAATCAATAAGTACCTATTCCTCTATTGGAAGAAGTGATGATTGGACTATCTCATTGGAGGAGTAGGCAGTGACTTAACTATTGAGGAACTGGTGACAACTGCCTGAACTGGCTGCTATTCATCATATTAAAACTGTAAAACATGGCCAGGAGGGCAGAAGGTTGCAGGAAAGCATCTCTGTCAGTGTTGAGAACACGTAAGATGAGACGTTCTCAGGTAGAAAAGTTGATAATTATCACTGCTGACAATATCATATTGAATAACTTTTCCCTTTTTGTTGTTTAAACTTTTGTTCATGAAGCCCGAGTTCTCACACTTTTATACTCTGTTTATAGCTTTTCTTTGAATTGAGTAACTTTATTATTCAAGTGTTATTGTATAAAATGCTTTTATTTGTAAGTTATAAAATTATTTTTTTTTTTTATAAAACTTCAATCATNTTAATCAATTATAAAGAAATTTAATTTGAAATTTTTAATAAAAACATTATTTATCTTTTTAATTTCGTTATAATTAAACATTTTCTTATAATTATTTTTGCGGTTATGTATTATAGGTTAACAAAATGGATGTTGTAGGAGGAAGCGAATTGGGAATGCATTTTAATAGGAATTTAAGGTTTAATCCTCTTCCTGTAATACCTCCAGGTTTAGAATCTTTATATACAGCATGTAGAAACATATATCCACAACAACCCAATCCTTTACAAGTTACAGCTGTAGTTAAATATTGGTGAGTATTATACATGATATGCCCTACATTATGTATTGTGATAAATATTTGACAACTAATAAAAATCCTGGTAAATAATTACTATCAATAAACATATGAAACAAATTGTTTATCTCTATATAACCAATGCTATTTAAATTTGCAATAAAATCTGAAAGTATTTCAGAAGTTGTGAGTATTAAACTATGGTACTACATGATATATGATCTGGCTAAGTTATGTATACAGTATTTTCAAAAATACACCTGCTCTAAAATTAGGTTATTGAATGGAGAATATTACAAGGATGCATAAGTATCGAAATTTAAAATTTTTAAAAGCTACAGCGGAGTTAGGAATTCTATTTACATGGTTGAGATATCATTTTAAACTGATAGGAATTACTTTTAGTAATTTGTATATATATTATTGTGGTGCTTTTATGTTATGGGTCTGCACATTGTGTTCCGATGTCGCGCCATGCTCTTTCGGGTTGCCAGCTATTGTGTTGCTTATGGACTGATGCAACATATTTAGATTATGATTTAAAATAAGTTTAAATGATAAATGCAATTTTATGCATTAATGCAAAAATTAAAATTTAAGTAAGAAATTTTTGTTTTTATAATGTTAAATTTATCTTGTTAATTTTTTTATATACACTATTGTGTAGGGTGAACAAATGAAAAGTTTACTTGTGAGGATTATACTTAGGGTCTGTTCAAAAAGGCTTACTGGTTCAACTCTTTAGATTGGTATCATTCAAAAAGATAACCTATAAAATTTATGGTGATTTATCGGTTGCTACCAGACTCGCTGAACTTCAAGAGTGGATTAGAGAGTGACTGACCTAATACTGATGAGGTCGTTTACTGCTACCAACCACTTGAGTTGTAAGCATTTCTAAAGACCTCCTTAGTGATGTTGGGAGTTGGTGACAGTGTACCAACTTGTTGTACACCACTGATTTATTTATTTAGAGTTTCAAATGGCCTTTTTTGAATGTGTAATAAATAAATGTTTAAAATTTGAGTATTTTTCAAGATGTACAGCAGGACGTAACTAATGGAATTGCCAAATATATTCTTTATAATTAAATTTATTATTTGATTTACTTATATATTTTCTGACTTATGAGACTATAATTAAAATATAAATTTCTTGCAATGTAATTAGTCTAGAAACTGTAGGGAATGCCAGAAATAAAATTCACACCTTAAAATACGTTACAGTAATAAATTTTAAGGTGATAGTTTTATTTTGTGTGAAATCCGCGATTTTTACACCAATGTCGGAAAAATCTTTGTAAACAACTCTGATGGAAAAAACACTCTTGGTGAGAAGTATATTGGAGGTCACCGATTGCTTTCACAATTAGGTGGGAAAGTTGACACTTAGTTAATCGGAATGCACCGTAAGTATCAACAGAAGTCGATCACGTGACTCCTTTCCCACGAAGAACGTATAAAAGCATGAGCCCCCGGAAGTTCCAGGCGTGCCAAATTACTGTGTGCATCTTGTCTCCATACACCGGACATAGCGACTGAAGGGACATCGCCATATGACAGCCATTTGAACTTCCATCGCCATTCTACAGTTCCTGTACCGACTACGATTCATACAGCCCATTCAATGAATGCATATTTAGTCATATCCTATTAGATGTATTTGTATTTTTGAGCATTGTGAACTCTCTCTCTCTCAGGATAGCCGTTAGAGCTGTTAGAGTGGCCCTTTTGTATAGTGAACTTATATTTAACCACATTTAGCTTCTATATATTGTTATGGCCTCCTGTATCTTAGCTTTAATATTAAAATAAATGTTTGTTTCTTTTGTTAAACCTGTCTCCTGTTGTTGAAAGGACACCTGCCGGCTTACTGACGCACTCCCCACACACTTTTTGCCCTCCTAGCCATCCTACAACCGCAAGATCGAGTTTTACCAACCTTGTGCAGCGTAAATGGTCGGAAGGGATTAACCTCTGACTCCCTGTTTATCTCACAGCTTATTTATAAATTTCTTTAAACAAATCTTTTGTCTTTAAGTAGAAATCATTTTTGATTATAAACTAAACTATGCAGATGTAAAAGATAGTTGTTATGAATAAAAATATCTGACATTTGAAAAAATAGTTTAATGTTATGCTGACAACTGTTTTTGCTGTGATTGAATAATGTATTTTTACAGAGTAAATGATCATTTTAATAAGTTCTTGGAAGTATACAAATATAAAAAGCCTTTATGTATTGAACTTCCATATCAAATATAAAATGTTTGTAATGTAATGTCAGCATCAATATCTTGATACAAAAATGCACTAACATAATTTTTTGGCTATGATGGCCAATTATTGGAAGGAACATTTTAAAGTACTTTTCTGAGTGTTTTATCTGTAGTTTTTATTTTAATTTTTTTTTGTTTGGCATGATTTGTCACTGCTCTATGACATTGTGTATAGACTATACATTGGTTTAAGGATTACTATGAAATCCTAATATTTTTATTTTATATCTGAATAAACTTAATGAATTTTCAGCATTTTATACAAAAGACATCATTAAAGATTTTTCATTAAGTAAATAAATGGCTTAAGATTAATGTTATCAAAACTGTATACTGAAAATGTTTTATATAAATTTATATTTATTGAATCAGATGTAATAGTATGGAACAAGATGATAATCTTATGTTTGGTTTCTATTATTAAAAATAACAAAAAAATATACTTAGACTTTATAATTTTTACCAATTATGGCTATGAGAAATCAAAAATAGAATTGCCAGAACATTTGAACTTTTTTGTCATATAATTTAAAATGTTCAATTCTGTTTATGTAACTTTATTGAAAAGATTACAGAGAAGTCAAAATGAAAAGTATTTACTCAAAACACTGAAGTTCATATCTTTGTTATCTTAGAGCTTTCCTAGTATGTAAAATCATCTTCAGGGACATTAAGAATCAAAGTAAAAAATTTGATAAAAATCACATTTTCAAGAATATACCTTATGTTAAAAAGTATTTATGTAAGGAAAAGTTAACGTTACAAAAATTAAAAGTCATTAAAGAGAATTGTTTTCAAATATTATTTTCTAATTCAGTGTTGCTCAAAATGGATGTTTATGGATTATTGCTGATCCAGAAAGACTTTGCATGAGATTCATAGCTATATATGCTATATCCACTCTTTTGGATTTCATTTTATTTTATTATCAATATTACTTTTATTTATTGTATTTTCCTTAAATGTTCATAAATCCTTTTTTCATGCCATTTTATGACTTCTCTGTGCTTATATGAATAATATAATCTTCAAATATAACATTAGTCCTAGCACATTATTTTACCACTTAGAATAGTTTGAAGATCATTACCTTACTTCCAATTAGTTTGCTAAATAAATTCTTATCTAGCCATAATCTGTCTGAATTCTACATCTAAGTTACAATTTGGAGTTATTTCTGCTTTGATTTATATTTCAAGCAAATTAATACTTCAATAAGTTTCTTAATGATTAAATGTGTGCTAATGTAGAGTAATTTACTAATAAAATACTATAGTTATTTATGTATTTAAAGTCTTTCCACAAATATCTGTTTCTCTAGATGTGCATTTTCTCTGAGCTGAGTCAAGAGGAGAAAATTATTCAATTTTTCTTCATTTAAAAGTAATATCAGAATTACTGTATATTAATCAGAATCTTTCATTAAAAAACATATGATTTTTAATGCATATATTACAGTTTGGACTCTTGAACAATATCAAGCTTCTTCTAATCAAAGAGTTCTTTAATTAATTATTCTAAGTTTGGAAAAAATTTTTAAACATATGTCATTACTAATTCACCAATAGCTTTTTATTTTTTTAAATTTTTATTATCATATTTCAAAGGATTATGAAAAATAATGAATTTGAATAAAGAAATGTCAATTTTTCTATTATAGAGAATAAGAACAATGATAATTTTATATAATTTTGTTAAAAAATAAAAACAATAATTTCATCATTTCAATGCATTAAAATATTTTTTAATAAAAGAAAACTATTGATAATATATTGAAATTTAAAAATGTTTTGAACTTCAATAAAAAATACATTTTAATTCTATAATAAGTCTGTTTGAATGCTTTGTAATTAATATATTTTAAAATAGATTAACTATAGTAAAATATGTATTTTGAGTTGCATGTTAGATTAGTCTAAGATATTTGTTTTTGAATTTTATATATTTATTTAATCTTCTAAAACATAATAAATATGATTATTATTTTAAATGAAGTATTTATTTAACAAATTTTTTTAGTGTCTAGAAGTTAGTCTGTTCTGATTTCTATTTAAAGTGTCATTCAGTTGTACTGGAACATTTTTTTTTTTTTTTTGCTTTCAAGCTAAAAAATTTTTCTTTCTTTAACTTTAAAGTATTTTACAGAATGTTTAGATGGTATTAATTTATAATTTATAAATAATTTAACAAACTTTAATATAAATGCTATTAATAATAAATTAACATAAATAGTGACAAACGTATGTAAACTTAAATAGAATTAGAATCATTATCTTTAAATAAAAAACAAATTTATTTCAAATTGATTTGTAAGAGATTTGATAAATAAAATTAGTATTCTGTATTTAAAATGAAGTCAAATGAATTTCAAATAATAACTAGACAGATTAAAAAGTAATTTAATTATCATTAAGTATTTTAAATTAAATTTTATTACTTATTTATTATGATTATGTTAAAGTATGGTATTATTTTAGTATTTGGGTCACACTGGAAAATGTTAAAAAATTGCCAACCATTTTGTCAGTTTTAAATTTTTTTGCCATTCCAAATTATTTATTGCCATCGGTTTTACTAATTAATTAATGCGGGTTCTGATAGATATCCTTATAAGTTTGGAGTCTAGAAAGCAAAAGTAACATGATAAGTTGTCACTTAGAAATTCAGAATTATTGAATAATTTTAAATAACACATTTGATCACAATGATATACAGGTTCTGTCATGTCAAGATTTGT